ATCATGTCTTCCCTGCAACTTTTGATCAAGTTAATGCATTTTGGTAAAAAGTATTAAAAAAAAAAATCTTACTGACCTCAAACTTTCGAAGGATAGTATATCCATTGCTCATGTACAAAAGGAACATTTACATAAGAACACATTGTTACTGAACAAATGCAACTGTTTAGTTAGATCTATACAAACTTTAATTGTTGCCAGTGGAATAAATCAACAGGTATCTGTCAAATCATGTTTACCCAAAAACTGACAGTCATTTACTCACCACCATGTCATGCCAAATCTATAAGCTTTTCTTCTATGGAACACCAAATGATCAACTGGATCAGTCCACTTTGAAACTGGATCATTCAGACCAATGAAGTGAATCAGTGAATTCACTGATAAGATCAATGAACTCAGATATCAATGAAATCAAACAATTTTCCCCCCTCAATTTGGAACCTGACATCAATTATCATTACCTTTCATTATGTTGGAAAAAAATGTGGCTAGGATATTTTTCAAAAATTTATATTTTGTGTTCCAATGAAGAAAGTCATACAAGTTGGGAACATGTGAACTGACTGAATGAGGTGACTTAAACTTGCTTATTTTCTTTTTTTTGAGTGAACTATAACTTTAATAATCCAACATTTCATAGAAATGTAAGGTTGATTATTTATATCACCTGCCAAACATTTAATTGCAAACTTTCCTAACGAGTCAGAAAGTACTAGCAACAGAACTCACAATTTGAACCATTAATTCGATAAAGACAATCCACGAATCTTCCTATTCATAAATTTGCATCTGCATCCGGGACTTATGGACAAGACGTCATTTGACAGTCCAGCTGAGATTTCATTTTTCCACATGGTTTCAAATAATGAAACTCATCTGAAAACTGTGAATGGTCATCTAAATAAATACATCAAGTTTCAAAGTTACTGATTGAACAATTAGCAGGCAATTGAAGATTGAATTCAAACAATTAACCAGTTTTCACGCTTGAAATTCAATGCAAGTTACTCGATGCCAATTCCCAAGCTTTCCAGACAAACACAGGCACACTCGGCTGACTTTGACATTCAGTCCATGCTTCAGCTGGCTTCTCCGGTTTAAACTATAAAAATGTCAAAATTAAAGCGGTTTCAAAATACAAATAAACGTTTAAGGTTAGAAATGAGGAATCGGCTTCCCAGTCACGGGTAAACGTAACAACGAAAATAATGGAGCTGGTTAGCAAACTGACACGATGTGAGCTTCACTGGAGGAGTTAAAAAAATGCATTAAATCAGTATGAGACGAATATTATCCCGTATGTCTGCAGTATACACACTACAACATAAATCGACTTACTAACTTCAGTGCAAATGTTAAAATAGTAACCTTATGTAGCTTGTGGCTAAACGTGTCAGACCACACGCGTTTCTCCACACAAACCACAAAATGAACGCCACGACAAACTAAATACATCCGCATGTCTGTCAAAACACATAAATCCCTGCTGTTTCACTCACATTTATGCTCAGTCTACAAACCAAGGCTAGCGAAGAAACACAAACATGATAATTATCGCCAGTATACGCCGACTGTTTGTGCGTTAGCTTACGCTAACATCTGCTAACCAACCTGAAAAAATGAACAAGAGCGTTTGACATCTGTCGGGTTAACTGTGCGGCGTTGTTATTCCCACAGACTAGAGCTCAGCGACATTATCGTGGGATGTGGTGCGAGATGAATGCTTAGAAAAGTCTCCTCACGTGGAGATAGACCGTTGCCGCGTTTCATAGAGGCGGACGAGAGCAAGGCCTCGCTGAAGCCTCGGTCTGCAGTGCGAGTTCTCGGCCGCGTGGTGCGCTACTGACCTGGGCTGCCAGTCATTCCAGTTTCGCTGCAGTTTGTGGGCGCTGCTCAGCCGAGACCCGAGGGCTTTGCGGCTCATTACCTTCGCGAAGACAGCATGACCCGTCTAACACGGGAAGAGTCCGCAAACAAACCCTAATTTCACCGTTCAGTTAATGTCCATGCACAGGGTTGAAATGCACTGTGTGTTTGAAACTGAGAGGCAGCGGCCTGTCCCTCCCATCTATTTCTCTACTCTCGACTCTTTCCGTCACCGCGGTTCACACGGCGGCTTCTCCATCTGTCGGTGGATAGAAATAACTGCAGCTCTATTGTTATTAGCGCAAATACATTTCCCATGGTGCCTACATGCACAATGGCAGAAACGTGGACTTACTTAAAATAACTCCAAGGTTGTTCGTTCACTTGAAGCTTAGCAAGTGAAGTGGCACGTGTAGGTTAAACAGGAAAAAGTAATTATTTGAATGTGTGATTTCACCTAAACTTCACTTGAGCAGAAAATAGAAACATCTGTTGAGGTAGCCCGATTCACTGTGTGGTTGCTTAGTGACAACAAGATGTGTATGAAATGGAGAAAAGAGAAGAAGAGCTTCAACCACAGAGAAAAGAAAACCAGCATTTCAGTGCTGTTTAACTAAACCCATCTTGTTAAAGTTTCCCATTCACCATTAGATTCAGGGAGGCACATTATGTTTGGTTTTATATTTGGTACATTGTTATTGGTAGGTATGCTCACAACACAATTTCTCCAATTCGTGTTGATATTATTATTATTATTATTATTATTATTATTATTATTGTGTTGATTCTTAAAACCCCTTTTCGCTTTTGACCCCTAAACATTCTTAAACCAAGATACATGCACTTGAGAATATTATTGATATTAAGTCTTGTTTTCTGATTGATCAAAATCAAGTGAGTTTAGGCTTAAATCGAGAAAAATATATATCTGGGGTAAGCAACTTGTTTACCATTTGAATTAAATTAATTTTGTTTTGTTTTTGTTTCTTGTTTTGAGCATAAACTCGCTTATTTATTTTTATTTGTATTATTATTATTATTATTATTATTATTATTATTATTATTATTATTATTATTATTATTATTATTATTATTATTTTCCAGAAATCACACATTGCTTTATTTACACCACAAGATGGTAGCAAGGAGCTAAAGCAGAATTCATCAGCCCAATATTTGTTTTCTCCTACTTTTCTGTCATGTCTTGCAGTAATATCCAATAAAACTCAAGCCATTGCACTTGTTCCAGTAATTAGAAAGATATGGTCCACTGAAAGCTGCACATTCTCTTTCACAAAGCCTTGCTGTGATATCACTCTTTTTGTGGCACCCTTGCCCACCTCAATACATGGTTCTGAAGTTGCTAAGCAACAATGTGCACAATAAACACTGTAGCAGTACACAAAGATGACAGCTGGTGACTTAAGGAGATTATCTGGCTCACAGTGTGTTATTTATTGCACCCTTTGAGTTAACTATGACTGTTAATTAAGCCTATAACTATATTGCAAACCATTATTGGCCACATTTTTGTGTTTTGTGGGGGGAAAAAAATCCCTAAGCACAGCAAAAAGCATTTCCAATTTCATGGAAATTGCTCATTGGAGGTCAGCAGAGCTCTCAGCTTTCATAATTAACAATACGTACAGCTGTTCGATTGTCCTGCAACAGGAAGTGCTGAATGTCACAGCTGTTGCTAATGGTGCACCACCATCTGCACTACACCTGAGGGATTACAAGCAATGTAGGAAAATGTAAGAAAAGATAACCAGAGACATTTTTTTCTGGAACGAATCACCCCTTTTCAATGTAGAATGTACAACAAGGACATTCTAGCAATAAAACAGGGGGTGCTATGTGTCATCACATGTCTGCACATCAGCTAGCTTTGAACTGACTCAAAATCAATACCAGACTCAAAAAGGATATTTTTAGCTAGCTCCTCAAACAGGTCATCAACAATTCTACCCCCATATATTTCCAACAAATTATTACAAGATGAAATGTTTCCATTGATTTGAAGGTAAACCATTTGACTAGTGGTTATTTTCTTACTTTATTCTAGAGGCAAACATGTTGGTATTTCTGAAGCATTTATCTTTACTCATTCCAGGTTGCTGAGGTTAATGAGGAATCACAGGTCAGTTGTGTTTGATGTTTCTGCAACAATATGAATTAGATGCTGTCCATCTGGTTATGTAAAAACCATGTAAAATTTAAAATTGCCTAAGTTAATAGGAATTAAATATACTCCATAATACTGACTTAGAACACCAGTAAATATAATTACCTTGGCTTGCCTTATTGATTTTAATTAACAAATTAAGTAATATTTTGGTAAATGAAATAAAATCTGAAATAAAATCAGTAATTTTGAATAATAAAATAACTTAATTTTTACATTAGACACCATCAACAATAGATATGAATTTGTAGTTCCCTTTCATGGGAACTTCGAACTGCGTCCTTCTTTACATTGCGAATAGACAATCTCAAGCTAAACAAGAGATGCTTTGCCAAGTTATAGGTGCTTCTGTTTATAATGGATAGTTTTAACCTGTATTTTGCAGCCATTTTCTCAATGAATGAGAATGTGACATCAATGCGATGCTTGCCATCAATGTTTTATTGATTTACAAGAGCTCAGACTAGCAATGAAAGCATCTTTAAAGGTTAAGTATGAGTCAGATTTGGAAGGCAAGAAAAGTTTTCTTGTAACATAATACATTGGGAAAATAGCCACTATACTAAATAATTCAATTGCTTTATATCTACAAATGCCTTAACCTTACAATTCATTTATCATTTATTTAGGACACATTTTTTTTTCTTACATTTAGCTGACTTAAATTATTGTAATGTAATATTTAAAATACTGTAATATTTATAATTTTTGGTGGATAGTGTAGCTTATAATAGTTTTTGTTGCGTAACAGAATTTCTCTATAGCTCTTGCACAGCTCAAACTAAATTGAAAGCAGGCTGGTGCTGTGAAAAGGAAACAATGACAATATATTTTGAAATCAGCTAGATACTTTCCAGATGATGTTTCAAATAACGTAATAATATAATTTTGTGGTGTTTGTAAGTGTTTGACCTATTATGTGCTCATACTGAAATGTTAATTTAAAATGGATTTGTCATTACCGTTTCCTCTAGCACTGCCCCTGCAACTGTCAGACTCAATGCAGCCTGTGACATGTCCGCTCTTCTGGACTGAATTTGAGGGTTTCTGTTACCGCTTCTTCCCCTTGAACCGCACATGGGCTGAGGCAGATCTGTACTGTGCCGAGTTCTCAAACGGACACAAATCTGCCAAACTCACCTCCATCCACAGGTATGACTCCCCACCGACAGTGCTGAGATGCCACAATTTGTCTTACAGTACAGGATTTTGCTGGAGCTTCTATTAAAAAAATACTTTCTCATAAATGTTTTTCATAGCTGGGAGGAAAATGTGTTTGTCTATGATCTTGTGAACAGCTGTGTACCAGGAATTCCAACAGATATTTGGATCGGCCTTCATGATAGAAGACAGGTAAACATGATAACATTAAGAGCAAGCCGAAATATTCACACGCATGTAGTGCGTGAATGATTCACTGATGTTTTATTTACTAGGATGCAATGTGAAGCAGTCATGATTTTTATTACCCATGCATGAAAAACATATGCTATATGACTGACATAGCTTGTCTGTGTTGTAAAAAGCCAAGCCCAGTATGTAAAACCTCCCACTAATGAAGTGATGTGACATGTGGCCAAGTATGGTGACCCATACTCAGAATTAGTGCTCTGTATTTACCCATCCAAAGTGCACACACAGAGCAGTGAACACACACACAAACCGTGAACACACACCCGGAGCAGTGGGCAGCCATATATGCTGCGGCGCCCGGGGAGCAGTTGGGGTTCGGTGCCTTGCTCAAGGGCTCCTCAGTCGTGGTATTGAAGGTGGGAGAGAGTGCTGTACATTCACTCCCCCCACCTACAATCCCTGCCGGTACGAGACTCGAACCCACAACCTTTGGGTTATGAGTCCGACTCTCTAACCATTAGGCCACGACTTCCCCTGTTAATAATCCCATGAATGGAAATGATAGTTTCTCTGAGTGACGTTTAATCATTTCCAGACAGCGGTGAACCAACACTTCTAGCACCAGGTTGAGGTAGGTAGTTTATGGATGATGTTGTAACAAACCCTCAGATCTGCAAACTGAAAGTTTCTCTGGGATCCTGGATCAAATGATCCAAAAAGCTCCAAAGCTGTAAACTCATGCCTGGCAGGAAAATTTTACTTATCACTTCAGGGTCAAAGGGCAAGGAGCAAGCAAATGTGATAGCGTTGTTAATCATAGTTTGTTGACAGGAGGGCACTTTGGAGTGGACAGATGGGTCACTCTATGAATACAGTTACTGGGATGGAAATCAACCAGATGATGGCATCCATCGCATCCCTGAGGAGGAGGACTGTGTGGAGATCTGGTACAGACAAAACAGTGGTGAGTTCACAATAGATTCAATCCTAAAACAGCAATTAATTTACTTAATTTAGTACATATTAAGAAACAATCATTCAAAACTTTGTCGTTGCATGTGAAAGAAGTCTTTTGTGCTCACCAAGGCTGCAATTTGCATTTGATCAATATAGCAAAAACAGTAATATTGCAATAAATATTTTAAAATAACATATATATATATTTTTTTTTCAAATGTAATTTCATCCTGTAACAGCAAAGCAGTATTTTCAGCCATTACTCCACAGCCATTACTTCAGTGTCACATGATCCTTCAGAAATCATTCTAATATGCTGATTTGGTGCTCGAATAACATTTCCTATTATTATCAATGATGAAAACAGTCGTGCTGCTAAATGTATTTGTGGAACCAATAATAAGATATATATATATATAGTTGATTGACAGCCCCACTAATTATGTAACATTACTAAGACAGGACAAAATGAAGAAACTGTTTGCATCTTTCCATCTTTTGCAGCACTGAGGTCTTGGAACGACAACAATTGTGATAAGGCCTTTCCATTCGTCTGTAAGATTCCTACACTGGAAAACTAACCACAGATCCAAGATTGTTTATACAATTCTTTATCATCAACACTGACACCCAACATCACTCAATCACAGTGCAGCAACCAGATGTCATCTCCATCCCTGCAGTGATGAAGGGCTCTCTCCAGCCTGCTTTACTTCAATTCCCTGCCCCCATCATCCTCTCATCACTGTTGTTATAGTGCTGTTTTCTTGGTCCTTTGGGGCCATGAATCATGACATACATTTCTCTGTTCCACAAATTTGGAAATTAACCCTTAAGGTGCTGTTGATAATATTGGACATTGATGTTGGTGATATTGTTGCGAATTACAGTTAGTTGTAGCCAGAGACCTGCACTGGTGTCCACATGCACACACATTCTTGCATATGTGGTTTACGGGGACTCTCCATAAGTGCCATGTTTTTTATACTGTACAAACTGTATTTTCTATCCACTTACCCTAAGTCTACACCTAAACCTACCACTTACAGAAAACTAATTTCAAAAAACACAATTTAGTGTGTTTTTTAAGCCATTTGGTTTACGGGTATGCAGAAAGTGTCCAAATAAACCATGCTTATATTGTAGTACCCATGTCATTATATACACATTTGTGTCCTCATAAACCATATATACCAGAAATCAAACACACACACACACACACAGGTTTGTTTTTGTGAAAAGTGGGGACATCCCATAGGCGTAATGGTTTTTCTACTGTACAGACCATATATTCCATTGCCCTACACCAACCCTACCCCTAAACCTACCCCTTACAGGAGACTTTGTGCTATTTCAGATTTTCAATACACTCCATTCTGTGTGATTTATATGCGTTTTGAAAAGTGGGGACATGGGATAATGTCCTGAAAAGTCACCTTCTCCTGACTTATGTCATACTATGTCATACCCTTGTCATTATACAAACGCGCACACACACACACACACACACACACACACGTATGTATGTATATATTTTCCCAAAGAACCTTTCAGTGACCAGTTCTTAAAAGAAGCATTTGTTTCTGTGGCAAACATTTTAATAATCTAAAGAGTCTTTTTATAAAGAATCTTTTGTCTAATGGAAAGCTTCCATGAATGTTAAACGTTCTTCATGGAATCATTGAATCCAATAAAGAACCTTTTCTTTTAGTGTAGATTGTGAGCTGCAGTATATGGCCAAACTGAACTAGACCGAACACTTTGGTCACAAATGTTTCTGAAGGAAAACAGAGGTTCCCACTCAATAATCTGGCCGTTAATGTTCTGAGACATTATTTCCTTCTTTTCAAATACGGTACTTTTGCTGGAGACCCCAGAATTTGAAGAAGTCAGAAAATGTCTCTTATTTTTGATAGAAAGGATATTTTTAATTTCTCGCAGACCTTGAGACAGGAATTTGTGTCCATATAATGACTCCTGAGTTTTGATCTGGAATCCCAAACACTGTCAGTGTCCGTCTGTGCACATTTATCTGTCAGTGACCTAGAAGGTGAGATTCTAAAAGAGAAGGCATTTAAGCTTCTACCAAAAAGACAGAAAGAGCTTAACCTCAGCTAGGCAGATGACCTTTTCTGCTTTTCTCTCTAGTTCATGTGCTGTGCCAATTAGTGACCAAAATGTCTGTTCTTGTTAAAAAATGCTGTCTTTTCAATTCATTAGCTGATCTGGAGTTTCAAGGACGTTGTATTGGAAACTGAATTGGAATGACAAGAGGAGGAATTTACTACATTACACTTAAAAGAAATTGTCATAATTGTCATTAATTATGCTTATTTATTTAGAAGACACCTCTATATTTAGAAAATGTTAGGGCCAAAATATTAATATTTAGAAAATATTATTATTAATAATATTAAGAAAATATTAGGGGCTGCTCACACAAAACATGTTTTTCTATTCCACTGTGCTTTTCCATTGTTTACCTATGCTTTTCTATGTGCTAGATGGATGTCTTTGTGCCTGACCCAGGACTCATGAGAACATTAGGGGTTAAGCTGTTCCCCTGTTGATGAAGAGAATAATTAATTGACCCTCTTGTAACCCTCAGAGTAATGTTCTCCCTCTTAAAGCCTGCAGAGGGAACATTTTTACACAAACAAGCCTGAATTGTTTTTTTTGTGTGTGATTTAATTAGTGTATTGCCAGGGTCATCACTGAAATTGCAAAATGTTTTAAACAAATATTTCAAATGAATAACAGAGGGATTGTTCACTCAAATGTTCTTTAATGATCTAATGTTGTTGGATGTTACTGATGTCCAATCTGCACCAAAGCGCAGCAGTTATATGAAATATGAAGGCATAAGAAGATTCTATAAAACATTCTTAATTAAAAAGCATATTAAAAGGGAGAAGCCAAGTAATAAACATCACTTTAATGCATCATGGAACAACCAAACTACACTTTCCTCACTTGATACATCTCTCTGATTGATTCACACATTACAATCGCCGTGAAAGAGACCTTTAAAGGGATTCTGCTGATCAGAGGTCTGCTTCATTTATGCTCACACTACATGGACAGCATCAGTGGAAAAAAAACTCGAAGAAGTTTCAAAGCAGACAGGGAGATGGTGGACTAAACATTTCTGTTTAGAATAGAATGCAGACAGTTAAAAACAGGCACCATTGAAACCAAAATCTTTGTGTCATTGAGGTCATTTCAACAGGTTTGAAAAAAAAAAAATTATTTCATGATTTATTTATATTCTACTTCTATCAATTTCTTTTTTCATCTATATTGCAAAATGCTTTGTTCAATTATCTGTACACATTTTAAGTTATAAATATACACAGATATGTTTTAGAGATAATTATATAGCTATTATTATATGCATTTATTATCTAAATAAATAAATACATATCTTCACCGGCACAGCGTCGTTATTATTATGTGTTAATATTACCACTCCAATCATTTGTAATCATCTACATTAACATTGACATTGGTGGAAACATACAATTGACCTGAAACAAACACTTATCTCGCACAGCTCACACAGAAGACAGATTAAGAAAACAGATACAGTAATGTTTCTGATTGCACTTCGATTCTATGCTAAGTACATATTTTTTCCTCAAACATATCCTATTTATCCTTACATACTTCATAGACTAAATAAGAAAGAGTTGAGACAAAATACAGCTCCAAGTTGTTGATAATACAGTACATGAACTGAACTTGGCAAAAGCGTGGAATGAAGGTAACAGAGCAAAGACAAATGCATGTATCTGCAACTTCTTGCTTCTTGGCATGGCATTATATTGCCCAAGCTGTGAAAGCATGTTCACTGTTGTGCAGACACTAACACTAATGCATTTACAAGATACAGACTTAGAAAGAAGCCATATATTATTATTTCTTTTTTTTTTCAGGAGTCTTTTGAATAAATTTTCTTGTGATCTCGAAATAACTACATTGCTGTTTTTATTTGCTCAAATATAGAGTGAAAACAGTAATATTGTGAAATATTATTAAAATTAAAGCGTTTTCTATTTGAATATATATTTTAAAATGTAATTTATTCCTGTGGTTGCAAACATATATCCTCAGCAGCATTACTCCAGGCTCCAGTGTCCTTCAGAAATCTTTCGAATATGCTGCTTATTTTGTTTTTGTATAAACTGTGATCATTTTTTCCCCAGGATTCTTTGAAGAATAAAATAAAAAAAACAAAACATACATTTATTAGAAATAAATGTATTTTGATGAACTGAATGCATCCTTGCTTAATAAACATATTCATTTCTTAAAAAAAAAAAAGAAAATCCTTCCTGATCCCAAACTTTTGTGATGTTTGAAAGATGACACGAGAAATAGTGAAAAGCGAAAGTCCAGATCACAAGAAATTTTTTTTGGTATATTTAGAACAAGTCAATGTTATGATAAAGCAAGACAAAAATATAAAAACAAAATAATGCATGCCCTCTTAGGGTTTCTGCAGACCTCAGCTGCTGTAAGTGCAAACATTTACCACACAGGTTTGTTTTTATGGTTTATGGGGACTCTCCATAGGGGTAATGGTTTTTATACTGTACAAACCGTATTTTCTATTGCCCTACACCAACCCTACCCCTAAACCTACCCCTCACAGGAAACTTTCTGCATTTTTAGATTTTCAAAAAAAACTCATTCTGAATTATTTATAAGCCTTTTGAATTACTGGGACACAGAAAATGTCCTCATAAATCACCTTCTCGTTGTAATACCTATGTCATACCCATGTTATTATACAAATTTGTGTCCTCATAAACCACACACACACACACACACACACACACACACCCACAAACACTTAAACACAATCACAGATCAGTATGTGCATGAGAACAGTGATAAGGGTCACAAAACACGACCAAACCAAGCTTTGGTGTAAAATCGTACTTAAACATTCAAACTGGGGAATAAAAATTACCAACTGTGTTGCCACAGATTTCCAACTACTTCAAGAACTGCAATCATATTGAGCTCCCATGTAAGATAGTATCAATGTGATAAAAAGAAACATGGACAGCAGGCTTCTGCTTGTCATCATAAACAGAAAAACTCTCCTACGGTCTACATCTCCCCATTATAATAATGGTAAGGGAGAGTGAACACAAATAACACCAAGACAGAGCCCACTATTCAGTCGAGAATAGAGCTATTAGTTTATGTTTCAAACCATTAAAAATTACACACAGAAATGTCAGGACACTCCCAGATTTTTGTGTTTTAATATTTAGGTTAAAATTATTTTCCATAGATCTCTATCCCACCTTCAGTGACTGTCCTGTGTTAGTATTACGTGACCTCGAGCGAAGCCGGAGAGACGCGGTCACACTCGGCACGGGAGCGCAGGCTGTGCCACTGTTCCACCGGAGTGCGCTGGGAGCCCAGGAGCCTGCGCCAATGTGCGGTTTCCTGCGGGCCGGTGGAGAACTGGCCAATCACAATGCGACCAACAAAATCGTTGCTACTCTTCACGTTATGCCCGTAAACTAAGAAGGAAAAGACATAAAAATCAATGTTAAAACCTGTCAGATTAAGATATTCTGTTTTCGCAAGAGCTGCTTTTAACTCATTCCATAATTGATGAACTTTACACAGTTATTGAACTGAACTTAATCAACAATGAACTGATTTCAACTGAATAATGGCTGTTTACTATCGTCTTTTTCGAATTGCTGTACAGCAGAATTGAATTCAGTTTGCATCACTGAATCATTATTTTCCTGTTTATCACTGCTTTGAAACAATCTATATTTTATAAAGTGCTATATGAATAAAAGGTATACTTGACTAACATCTTATTAGTAATAATGGCTGCTTGGAGTTTCCGTATTTCTTAATTAAGTTTTCCATTCAATGTTTGAAGACACACTACACACGAATCAGGATTATTATCATTAACTAT